AAGGAGGCAGCCGTGAGGGGGAGGGAGGGACTGGAGTTCAGAACAATTTTCATTTTAACTATCTTTGCTTCTTATATAATTTTATACAGTTTTTGTTTTAATATTTTACTTATACACCAGCCAGAGTCTCCCTCTGAGAGAGATGGGCAGTTTTGTAAATTTTATGAATTAAATAAAAAACAACCTATCTTTCCCAAGTAAGATCCAAGTTTTGTTCCTTACTACTTTATACACACTTATACGCAAAAAAAATCAGGATTATGGAGAATCAATGTAATAGTTTTGAAGGGATGTGACTTAAACCGTGGTCTCTTCCAATGGTGGTTAGAAAGTGGCCCATATTATCTGCCCTGCAGTTTGTAACTTAGCTTTCTTTTTTAATTCATACATAACATTAACATTTGTGTTTTTTTCTAACTGTAGCTCAGTTGAACATACAACTTCTTCACAAGCATCAAACCAGATTTGGAAGAATAAAGAACATTTAAAATACTGGGTTTTCGCTCTTTTTGTCTGTTCAACAAGCCATAACTGAAACAAATCCTACATGTGTAAAAGAAAGTACACCCTCTTTGAATTCCATGGTTTCATGTATCAGGACAGAGTAAAAGCAGGTAAATATAACCTCAGATGAACAACACACTTTCACACATTTTTTTCCTTCCAATTTCTATGAACACTGCATGGTCTGACCTTGGGGTGAATTTGCTGGGGCATCTACTCCTGGGAAGGATGGCAACTCTCTTGAATGTTTTCCCCTTGAGAATAATCTTCCTCACTGTAGAATGATGGACTTTAAATTATTTGGAAATGGCCTTATAACCCTCCTCAGACTGAGGGGCAGCACCAATTGCTCCTCTTAAAATTTAAATCATGTCTGATGTCTTTCCTCTTTGGCATTGTGCTGACACACACCTCAATGCTGGAGACCAGCAAACCCCTAAAGTTTGGCTTTTATAGAGGTAGCCACACTTGCTGATGATGACTTGGTCCAGGGCACTTGATTAGCAGCACCTGGCTGCTACTTAGCTCGTCATACCTGTGGAAGCAGCAAGGGTGTACTTCCGTTTTTCACACACGGCTTCTCCATTTTGGCCTTCTTTTTGTAAAATAAAAGATGGCATGGTACAATATGCCATGTGTTGTTGTTCATCTGAGGTTGTATTTACCTATTTCAAACAACTGCTGAGGACTAGATGATTTTTACTATGTCCTGATATGTGAACCCATAGAACTCAAAGAGGGTGTACAGGTAGTCCTCAATTTATGACCATAATTGAGCCCAATATTTATGTTGCTAAGCAAGACATTTGTTAAGTGAGTTTTGCTCCATTTTATAAACCTTCTTGCCACAGTTGTTAAGCGAATCATTGCTTTTGTTAAGTTAGTAACATGGTTGTTAAGTGAATCTGGCTTCCCCACTGACTTTGCTTGTCAGGAGGTCACAAAAAGCGATCCCGTGACTCTGGGATGTGAAAGAGCCCTTTGGGGCTGAACAAAATGACAAGAAGCCACCGCCTGAGGCGAACGTTTCCCACCAAAGCCTTACAGGCCTCTGGTCAGCACATCGCTCCACAAGTCCGAAGTATCTCTCTTTGGAGCCGTGGAAGTCGTTCTGGTCACACAACTCCTCAACTGTAGTCAGCAAATCGTGGACAATGGATTTCAGCTCCTGGCTTTCCAAAGTCTAGAAGGCAGAAGAAATAAGGGTTCCTCATTTCAACCCACTGTCTCCCAGAGCTGCCTCCAGTAACCCTGGTGCCCAAGAACGGGAGAAAAATGCACATTCTTCCTAGCTGCAGTTCATAACCCAAACTCTTCTACTTGGGACTCAGCTAATTTCCCCCTAGCAATTGTTTAATCAAGATCCTCCGTGAGGATGCAGGCAGTCCACCAACCTGCAGCTGTTCAACCAGCCGCTGCATGATATCCAAAAGGACGTCCCAGGTGACTGCCTGAAGGTCCTTCCCATATTTTTTGATCAGCCTTGTTATGGAGAGGACGATTTCGTAAGACACGATGGCATTGGGAGCTGTCATGGCCTAGAAGGAAAAGCCAGAGTCAGAGGAAGGGCTGGTGGAATAGAAACAGCACCAGACCTGAAAGGAGCTGTCTGGGAACCCCTCATGTGGGGACAAGTCAGGAAACCGGACTAGGTCCTGGAGGACAATGATCCGTTCCCGAGATCCTCCCCCAAGCCAGCTCAGATGGGCTCTGCCTTCTCCTCCTCCCATGGGGCCATTAAGAGATCCTAGGGATTTATTTCTTTGCCATTTCTGCTTGTTTTATAATTTCTCATATTGCTTGGAAGCTGCTCTGGCAAGAATTATTATCTTGAGGTAAGTTGGAATGTAAGTAATTGTAATGATTAAATATTCACGCAGCTTTACCCACAGCAGCTGAAGCGTCGTATCAAGCTAATAAAATTGGGCCCGTAGTTGGGGCTGTGAGATGATTACTGCTGGGGGGGGGTCGCCAGGCTGGGAGACCAGGGCCAGGAGAAGGACCTCTGCCTGACCAAAGGCGCTGCTGTTTGGAACGGCTGCTTGGGACTCCAGTCGACCTTGCTCCGTGAAGAGCAGGGGCTGGGCGCTCTCAAGCCAAGGGTCCTCGGGAGAGCAAGACCTGGAGGTGAGGAAAGCCCTCAGGCTCACGTGAGGAAGGCCAGGCAAGTTGTGTGAAGTGGGAGAGTGGCGAGGGGTTTGCTAGATTCTGCCTTAGCTCAAGATGGTGACAAAGATGGTGCTGGCAAAGAGCCCTTTGGCACAATGCTCGTCTGTGGTGTTGCACTGCAATAGATGTCCGCGTACAACTCAAATGGCCAGTTGTAGCCTATACAGTCCCCTACCCACTTGACTCCCCGTTAATTTGGGACTGTCTCCTTCCCGTGTTCTGTTTCAGGCCGCTCACACTCAAGAGGTGACGGGGTGGGGATCTCCTCTGGCGGTGGCCCTTCCCTGGTCAGAATGGCCCCCTCCCTCTTGAATGTTAGGAAGACAGTGGCAGTGGTCCTCTTCTGCTGAGGTTAGGGGGGAAATAGAGCACAAGTGGCTGACTCTGCCGAGGGATCTGCATACATGCGCTATTTATGTAGCTGCTTTCACCCGTATTATTTAAATCGAAAAGCTGCATCATTTTTTGTATTTTTGTTGGTCACAAACCATTTAAAGTCTGGAAAGAAAGTGGTACACATATTTTATAGTAAAATTAAGAAACATTTTTTTATTTGAAACCTATGTTTTAAGGCATACTTTCTAGTAAAATTAATAACAAATCTAAATAGTAAACAATTGCTAGTGTTGTGCAAGTAGGTCTCCAAGCCAGTTGCTCTGAGTGGAACCGGATGTTTGTGAAAAGTTGCAACCACGAAAGGGATCCGGCTGCTCCCGGTGCCTGTAGGCTCCTTGGGCTCCTGCTTGCTCACAGCCCGTGAGGCTCCGTAGCTGGGATGTCAGCCACTCCCAAGACACTTAGAAGAGAACCTGGCAGGTAGTGATCTACCACCACCACCCCAGTTCCCATCCTCCAGCATTCATTGCCTGCTGCCCCACCCTTCCTCCAAGGAGCTCAGGGGTCTGTAGAAGATTCCCCTTACCCACATTCTATCCTAGTTGCCCCTCTGCAGGTAGGCAAGGCTACCAATTCTCAACCAAGGGTGGATATTCAGTGAATTTTGCATCTAAGCTAGGACCGGAATGTCACTTGCTTTTCTATCAAGAACCCACAGCAGCTGGGTTCTTTTGGGAAGCTGGGAACTTTGGGAAGAGTTGGGCCAACTGCCCCGAAGGCTCTGGGCTTATGGTTCTGCTGCACTTGGAAATTATTTGGAATAAAATCCAATACATCTGGAGGACCCATGTTTGGGGAGGCAACTCTAAGCCATCCTGTTTCAAACTCTTTTCTCTCTGTCTCTTTTCTTTCTCTCACATTTACCTTCAGGAAAGAGGGCAGTACAGATGTTGGTGAATTTTTGAGAGACTGCAGCCTATGTGCACCCCACAAGGCCATCCCCACAAAGAAGACAGCTCCCCTCAAGAGGACAGCATCCGCCATGTAGGTCCTGAAAACAGAGAACAGGGGGAAGTATCATAATCTTCCTCACAGATTTTGTACATTGCCTAAGTCAAAATGAAATAACGTTTCATTTTTTGTGGCGCCCAACAACCTCTCTGCCCTTCCAAGATGGTTCTTCAACGTGCCACAACTAAGGCCTGCTCCCATCCCTCAGAAAGACACGCAGCCACATACCTATCCTCCATGATCCGACACATGTTATAAACGGCACTATGGCCCAGGTGAGTTCCCAATAGATTCCGCATGAGCTGAAAGACAAATAAGGGCTTTCTGTTAAGTGTACAGAA